CGATCGACGACGCCGTCGGCCGGGTCCTGCTCGCGATGCGCCGCGCCCAGCGGGAAGGGAGCCTGGGGCTGCAGCTCCGCGGCGCCGCGGCGCCGGTGCCGCTCGCGGCGCTGGACCTGACCTTTCTCTGCCCGGGCTGCGAGGCCGCCGAGCTCGTCGAGGGCGGCGCCGACCGCGCGGTCGAGCCGGGGAACATGCTCGCCTACTGCGACGCCGTCACCGCGTTTTGGCTGCAGACGGGCGTCGCCGTCGCCGTCGACGCGCTCCGCGGCGGCTTCCACGACTACATCCCCCTCATCGCCCTCCGCCTGCTCACCGTGGAGGAGATCCACGGCCTCGTCAACGGCAACACCCTCCCCGTCCCGCGCCAGGACTTCGAGGAGAACTGCCTCGCCGACCACGGCTATACGCTGATCTGCAAACACGTCCAGTGGCTCTTCGACATCCTCGCCGGCTTCGACGCGGCGGCGCAGCGGAAGTTCTTCGCCTTTTTGATCGGCTCGCCCCATCTCCCCGTCGGCGGCCTCGCAAGCCTCAAGCCGAAGATGACGATCGTCCGCAAAACCTCCTCGGACGCCGCCGTCCGGGAGGAGGACCAGCTGCCGTCGGCGATGACCTGCCAGAACTACCTCAAGCTCCCCGCCTACGAAACGAAGGAGCAGATGCGGACGAAACTCCTGCAGGCGATCTATGAAGGCGCCGAGGCTTTTCTGCTCACCTGATTCAACCGCGCGGTCCAATTCGGGGGCTCTCTCATTGTGGGTTATTTATTAGTAGTAGTGTGTTGAACGCACGCGCGAGAACAATAAAGGCAGCGAATCGCAAGTGCATCCAAGCGGATGGGTTTGAAAATCATTTCTATCAGTATCATCATCATCATTATTAATATTATTATTATTATTGTTATTATTATTATTATTACTATAGTTTCGACGGGTCGTTTTACGTTTATCTTCTTGCGACGGCGCCTGTCGGTCGCAATCTTTTTAACGGATCCAACGAAACGAAAATTAAACGACCCTAAGTGATCCACAGTACCCGCCACACCATAAAAATGTTAATAAACAGTGTTGGAAAGCGGAAGGATCTGTCAGTCAATGAAGAATCGATGTAATAAATTATATCACACCTTTGTACGTTTCTTTTTGGAAGGTTCGCTGTTTGTCACCCGTGAGCGCTTCCGATATGTAGCGAGGCCTAGTGGATGCTTAGGGTTTGCCGGAATTCATAAGTATGAAAGATGCAGAAATTATAATCACATGTGCGGTTTCATCTACTTGCTTGTTATATGAACTATTTGGTCTTTCCGTTTTGCGTGCGAATCGGGAGAAATCATAAACAATAACATTCAATTGACACGAAACGATTTTGGTCTGGCCGGAATAAAGGCATCATGTTATTCGTAGACTTTTTATCAAATATGTTTCTTTTTTCTCTCTTTTTTTCTTCTTCTTCTACCCCTGCGCACTTATTTCTATGGAAACAATCTTTTGCATCATTATCGTAGTTATCCAGTTGCTTAAGCAACTCAACAAAAAAGGAGACTAATATAGAGCAAAGGCGGCGAAACGACATCTGGCGGCGCATTAGTGGAGTACTGTTCGGGACCAGCCTCTTGACTATTTCTCGCCTTGCATTATTTTTCCTTTCGATAAGGTGTTGCTACGATCGTTCTCTAACTCTCTATTTATATACTTGCACTTGCGAAAGTTCACCCCCCCACACACACACACCCATATTCCTTTATTGCCGACAACATTCCATCCCTGTGCAATCTTTATATTATTATTTGGTATACCCCCTATAGTTCCATCGCGAAAGTAAAAAAAAAAAGAAAGAA